ACCAACTACCTGAGGGAGTAAAACAAGAATTGTATGTACACTGCATGCCGCTATGTGGAGTTGAGAGCTTATGAGTGCTTTATATAGGGAAGCTACAAAGATGAGATAATAAATTAGGAAACTGAAGCCTGTGCTAGATAAATAAAAATATATAAGAATGGATATTATTTGTTCAAGAGAAATATGATAAATAGTCTAAGAATATCCTAGGAATTTTCAATGTATGCAACAAGTATTTATAGCCTACTATGTACCAACCACTGTTCTCATTGAAGATCTGAGGATGAGATGAGTTGATGTACAAATAAGCTGTAGCAGATGCTTCTTTAGGAAGCAACAGTTCTCCACTAGGATAAGATCAACTAGATTGGGTCAGGCAGAGTGCTTGGGTGATGCCCTGTGGTCCTTGGAGACGACAGTCCCCTGTGTTTCAGATGGTTAAGGAAACATCTTGCCTAATGGCCATCTTTCCTAAGTACTCTTTATTGTGTCCTCCCAGAATGAATCCTTTATTTCTTTCCCACTCTTGCTGGCTTGTCACCAAAAAGTGGGAGATAAGACTTGCACTGAATGCTCCATTTCCCTCCCAGTCAAAATATGCTAGAGTTTAGGATGATGGGGATGTCATCATACCAGAATAAATAAGAGAGAATAGGATTTCAACCTTCCCTGAGAACATAACCATCAAAATACACTACAAAGCGAATTGTGTCTTTGAATTCTATGATGCCCCAATGATGAATCAGCCTTCTGCTTACGGTAGACTCTAAACCCCTTAAATGGGCTCCAGCATTCCCTCCGCCACCTTGCCTGTACTAGTAATGCAGCATGGCAAGCAATAGGGAGTGCTAGGTGCGGTTCACAGTGGAGAAGTGATTTTGACGTAGCCCATTGTTTTAAATTTTTTGACAGTGCTTTCATTATTTGGATAAATAAGAGTTATCCATGGTTTCAGTGTTTTTTCTCTTTTACACTTTCAAGAAAGTAAAAACAGTACAATAACACGATTACATTTATTTATCTATTATTATAAAAGCAAAACTGCATGGAGTGATCATATGACTTGCCTTGTGCTATCATAATCAGCTGTTGAGTTATAGACCTTATAGAACGAAGGTCTCAAAATATGCTGTCTTACCCATAGTAAGGTCTTGCCCATATCTTACTATGTAGGAAATATGCTGTGTTACCCATAATAATAAACTATAAGTATCCTGTATCTTTACTAAAGCATCCTACTTAGACTTCATTGATTTAAACCTTCTTAAATTGGAAACAACATACTTAATTTAGTCTAATAAAGCAGCAATTTGCTAATTCATGAATGGGAGGAAAACTATCTAAAACTTTCCTGTTCAAAGGGTGGTCCATGTCCCAGAGCATACACATCAACTGGAGACAGTTAGAAATGCAGACTCCCGATCCCCTCCACCTTCACCTATTGAATTAGAACCTACATTTTAACCAGAAATCCCAGGTAATTCTTGCACATTTTAAGTGTGAGAAGCACTGGATTTAAATCTATATATATAGAAGCCTAAGCGACCGGCCTACTGGCTGACCGGCGGTAGCTATGATCTTCACTGACCACCAGGGGACAGATGCTCAACACAGGAGATGCCGAGTGACAGCAACTTTGCAGGGTGCCCTCTTGCACTCTGGGACCCCTCGGGGAATGTCAGACTGCCAGTTTCGGCCCGATCCCTGCAGGCCAGGTCCAGGGACCCCACCAGTGCATGAATCTGTGCACCGGGCCTCTAGTTTATAAATAATACTATGTCCAGGTGAGATTGTTTTGAAGCTGGGGGCAAAATAGTTCATTGTAATTCATATTTACCTTTGATCTGGAGAAAAGATAAACCCACATATGAATGACTTGTGTACTCTGAAACTATTTAAAAATGATAGTGTGAAAATTATAAAATCTGTGAGAAGTTAGAAATATTGGCTAGAAATAAGATCAAGATAATCCCAGAAAATGCAAACTAAATGTATGTGAACAAAGTCTTCTATTAATACACAGTAATTGGGAAATTTGAGCGTGGAAAACATCTTAATACCTGTGTACATGTGACATAGCAGTAGACAGAAAACCAGAATTTAATCAGTAATAGATGAAGGTGGCCACTTCCCACTGCCGATTTGATGCATGAGAGATTTTCTTAAAGGCAGAGAGCCTAGTTGTGGCTGGTAAACTTCTTCTCACACAGTAAGTGATACTGTTTGGTAGAAAGATAAAGGTAAACCGGAGAGTGTTAAGAGATGGGCTGGAAGATCGATTATGGTATAGGGAGAACTGATTTATGAGGAAAGAGAAAAATGATTATATGGGCAGCACTGTGCTGTAAAAACGGACTATGGAGACATGGGTATTTGTCTAATGTTTTTCCAGTGCTGTTTCCTGTAGTATCCACATGAAAGATGCAGAAACATTGGGATGTAAGAAATTTGTTACAAAGCAAAGCAATATCAGCTGGAATTAGTCTGTTAAATTGGAAGCAATATTAAATATTAAGTTTTAGAAAATTTTACCTGGTGCATGAGAAATTACTTTGAGTGGGATGACTTTATCACTGACAACTTTTGAAAGCTCTGTGGGCAAAGAATAGGAAATCATTTGCTAAGTTGTTGAATTATCTTCTCAGGGAAATAATTGGAACCCCATCCCTAGAAACTTCTAAATGATGGTGGAGAAAGCCCAGGATGCTGCCTGTGGGAAGTCTCCATATCTGGCAGAGACCTTTTGATGAGTGACCTTTTCCTTCTGCAATCTCTTTGATTATTGCTGCTGTTACATACACAGATCTTTTTTTAATGATGTTTCTATCTTATTTAAATTAAAAATGCCAGTATCTAGACACACAGCTACAGAGTGTCACTCATCTGCCCTCCATGATGTCTGTCTCCTTGGCCTTGGCAGGTTACCTGCACCCAGTGACATTCCCTTGCCACTTCTCCAAATTTCGGAAATCATTAAAAGATGCATTTCAGTGCCTATTGAAAGCGAATTCACTTCCTACATTATCTCCATTCAGAAAAGCTAAAAAGATAAGCCCAAAATATGTGCTGCCTTTTGGAGCCATTTGTCAAATGGACACAGAAACTCAGGAAGTCTGAAATCGTCTAGTGCAGTGGTTCTCAACCTTCTGGCCCTTTAAATACAGTTCCTCATGTTGTGACCCAACCATAAAATTATTTTCGTTGCTACTTCATAACTGTAATGTTGCTACTGTTATGAATCGTAATGTAAATATTTGATATGCAGGATGGTCTTAGGCGACCCCTGTGAAAGGGTCGTTCGACCGCCAAAGGGGTTGCGACCCACAGGTTGAGAACCACTGATCTAGTGTTTTGGAGAGTTTAGTGACCCTTGTTACGAGGACAGAAAGCAAGTAAAAAAAAAATTATTCAGTATTCTAATTCATTACTTTACTTCTTTAAAAAATTGATTTCAGAGAGGAAAGGAGAGGGAGAGAGAGAGAGAAACATCAATGATGAGAGAGAATATTTGATGGTCTTCCTCCTGCACTCCCCCAACTCGGAATCTAGCCCACAACCCGGGCATGTGCCCTAACTGGGAATTGAACCTTGACCTCCTGGTTCATAGGTTGATGTGCAGATGATGATGAGCCACATCAGCTGGGCCATTACTTTACTTTTCCATGTTGTTCCTTCAGATCCACATTTGTATTGCCTGGGAGATTGAGTTTAATATAGGTGCTGCACAGAATTGTTCATATCAAATATGGTGACTGGAGATATTAGATATACTTCTTTATGCTAATGTGTGGACAAGTTTGCTAAACTTAAATATTAACTCACATTAATTAAATTTCTTCGGGTGCTCCATAACATGAGTTAGTGTTTTGTTGATGGTATTTTCTAAACTGTTGTTCAGTTTTGTTATTTATGGCTTAATGCACCTACATTAGTTTAAGACATTCTCTTTATCTGTAGCCATAAGTTCTTGCAACTTTTTTTCCTGAAAGTGATCTGGTCCTAAATAAAAAGGTTAGGATTACATTGTGCTATGTTGTTCAAAATACAAAGATAATCTCTTCTATATCCTGTTTCTGGGGGAAAGGCTCTAACAAATTGCCAATATCTTACATGGGCAAATAACAACTGTCTTAAAGATGAAAACTGATTGAGAAAAAAATTTAAATTGATAGATTTCAATCTTCCTTTTTCTTCTCTTGCTTTCTGGCTGATATACTAACCAAAGGGGCAGGGGAAAAAGTCCTTTTCCTTTCTAAATCATTCTACTAGTGTCATATTGATTTTCTCTCAAGTATACCCTGTGGTCTCAGATGATCACATATTTTCTTACATTACTTACATTGATACAGCACCTTGACTCATGGGCTGACATACATTGTTTGAACTGTGATGACACCACTCACCATTGACATTTCCTGGGGGTGGGGTGTATCAGGCCTCTTTTGCGTGAAATGTAAGGGAACAGGCTGCCTCACCACAATATTTTTACTCTGAAAAGTGATTATTGCCCGGCTGGTATGGCTCAGTGGTTGACCGTCGACCTATGAACCAGGAGATCATGTTTGATTCCCAGTCAGGGCACATGCACTGGCTGCAGGCTCGATCCCCAGTGGGAGGCAGCCAATCAATGATTCTCTCTCATCATTGACGTTCCTATCTCTTTCTCTCCCTTCCTCTCTGAAATCAATAAAAACATTTTTTAAAATAAAAAGTGATTATTGTTCACTCCAAGTGATAGCTTCAAGTCCCCATTACTGTTGCTTAACATTGTTTCTAACGCCTACAACAATGTCTTGAGTTCTTTTATGTTGTTTTGTGGGGGAGGAGCGGGGGGGTGGCTGATGCAGGGGGAGAAAATTCTCAACAGGTATCAAAACATGATTTGTAAGAAAAAAATGTTAAGTGTCTGAAAGAATACACAGTGGCCTTCTACACGCCCTTGTTTAGGCTCTCTTTCTTACCTTTGTATTGCCCTCTCCCTTCCCCTCCCTCTGTTTCAGCTAGCCGTGAGGTGGTTGGAACACAACTGCCATTACCAGTACATGGATGAGCTCCTGCAGTACATCCGCTTTGGCCTGATGGATGTGGATACTCTCCATACAGTTGCCCTGTCCCACCCCCTCGTCCAGGCAAGTGAGACGGCGACGGCTCTTGTCAATGAGGCCCTGGAGTACCACCAGAGCATCTACGCACAGCCCGTGTGGCAGACCTGCAGGACCAAACCCCGCTTCCAGTCGGACACTCTGTACATCATCGGCGGGAAAAAGCGCGAGGTCTGCAAAGTCAAGGAACTTCGGTACTTCAATCCTGTGGACCAGGAGAATGCTCTCATAGCCGCCATTGCCAACTGGAGCGAGCTGGCCCCCATGCCCGTGGGAAGGAGCCACCACTGTGTGGCCGTCATGGGGGACTTTCTGTTTGTGGCGGGAGGGGAAGTGGAGCACGCCACTGGCCGGACGTGTGCGGTGAGGACTGCCTGTCGCTACGACCCCCGCAGTAATTCCTGGGCAGAGATCGCGCCCATGAAGAACTGCCGGGAGCATTTTGTGCTGGGTGCCATGGACGAATACCTCTATGCAGTTGGGGGCAGAAATGAGCTGCGCCAGGTTCTGCCCACAGTCGAGAGATACTGCCCCAAGAAGAACAAGTGGACTTTTGTGCAGTCCTTCGACAGGTCCCTTTCCTGTCACGCTGGCTACGTGGCGGACGGCCTTCTCTGGATATCAGGTAGAAAATGCCTCTTGTGTTGGATTTGTCCAGAAACACTTTCATTGTGGGATAAATTTAAAAGTCAAGCTTTGGTAGTGTGGCCATGTGTAATTGGATGAATGAGCCAAAACTGCCATTTTTGGCTAATTAACATTCATTGATTGAGTACCTACTCGATATAGAATTATGACTTTCTGAGTGATTAGTGAAGGAAAAATTCAAGATGGGAGTTAATAGCCCATCACACCTCTTTTTTGACCAAACCTCTTGTTTAGATTGTCAGCTTTTGATATTCATGGATTGTATTGCACACCTTTGCTTTTACCTTTACCCTGGGCTGCCTGACTATGAGTCTTTCATCAAAGCCAGGGCAGGCAAAATAAAAGCCCAGGAAACCCACTTTGATGGGTATAGCAATGGGTATCCAGGTAAGAGGATTGCTGTGCCTTGAGGGAAGGGATTGAAACTATTGGCTAAAGTAATGTTTTATATTACCTGTGTAGTGACTCATGGCATCCTAATCCTTCATTCCTAATTAGTCTTCCATTCTTTCTGATCATTTGGCAGGCATTATTACTTTAGTTTCCTTTTTTCATCATTTTTTAAAAAGCCTTTGATGATGAAAAAAGTAGAGAGGCTAGTGTCATGAACTTCATGTACCCATGAGCCTAGCTCCAGCAGTTATTCACTTGCTTCCACTCTTGTTTCATCCACATCCACATACTTCTTCAAATTCCCCAGGCCTGTCTTTTCACTTGTGCAGAAGGAGTCGTCGGGGCATATGTATTAACCTCCCAGTATCAACCTGTGTTTCCAGTTCTATTATTGCAGTGGTTCTTAACCTGTGGGTCGCGACCCCTTTGGCGGTCGAACGACCCTTTCACAGGTGTCGCCAAGACCATCCTGCATATCAGATATTTACATTACGATTCATAACATTAGCAACATTATGGAGTAGCAACGAAAATAATTTTATGGTTGGGTCACAGCATGAGGAACTATATTTAAAGGGCCAGAAGGTTGAGAACCACTGTATTATTGAAAAGACCTAAAATGTTCTCCTTTGAAAGGTTTGCCTAATGGGGAAGAAAGTTGTATCTTCTCTTAGTTGGAGGATACTCAAGCACTTAAGCCCTGACGTGATGTTAAACAACCCAAATAGAACTTAAATTTCTATCTCAAGGTCAAAGAGGAAAAGCAAATACTGTAAGTCTTCAGTTAATGACATCAATTGGGTCTGTGACTTTAAGCAAAATGACATATAAGGAAACCTATTTTACCATGGGTGGTTGATATAAACAAGAGTTAAGTTCCTATGGTCTCGCAACTACATTCTAACAAAGTGACATTGAACGAAATGATGTTATTTGAGGACCTGCTGTACTAAGTAATTCTGAGATGTTTGCAGGGAGAAGAAACATTTTTAAGTACACCTGTGAATGCTTCTCAGCTTCCTTCAACAGTCTCCCCTAGTGGTTTAACTTCTGCTCTGACAACATTTTCCCCTGTATTTAAACTAAATTTGTTTGGACTCTGCCCATTTTTTCCTTCTGCTGTCCTCAGTAACCAAGGAGAAAGCCACAGTCTCGCTTTTTGTGGGTAGTGCCTCAGTTATTTGCAATTTACCAATTTTCACTGAAGAACCCAGCTTATGTCAGGGCTTAAGTGCTTGGTAATGAATGAATGAACCTGAGATTATGACTAAAGAAGAGGATAATGAGGTGGACCCAACAATTGCTGATCCTATATACCAAACAAACATTAGATATGTGTACGTGTTAATATATATATATATATATATGTGTGTGTGTATGTATATGTGTGTGTGTGTGTGTGTGTGTGTATATATATATATAGCAGTAATATGCAAATAAGGCCAAGACTCCATAACGGTCACGACCAGCTCAGGAGGAGGGGCCAGACGTGGCCCCGAGCCCGAGAAAACAACACGTAGGTGCAGCCTGGAGCCTGAGAGATCAACACAGAGGGACACCTGCCCCAAGCCTCAGATGCGGCTGGGGGCAGGCCCCCAGCGGGGACACACACACACACACACAGACACACACACACGGTGCCTGCTCAGAGCCTCCCCCTAAGCCATCAGTAGGACAGCCCCTGAGGGCTCCCAGACTGTGAGAGGGGGCAGGCTGGGCTGAGGGACCCCCCACCCCCCAGTGTACAAATTACATGCACTGGGCCTCTAGTATTTCAATAAAAGCCTCATGTGGTGATTTGTTCCTTTCTCTTTAAGTATAAATTTCAATAGTTAAAAAAGTAACTACCAGGGTTGTAACCCTTTGCTGAAGAAACTTCAAAGTTGGCTATAAATAAGTCTTTGGTATAGAAAGAACAGATCTCTACCTGACTTGGATAACAAAACAATGATGAATTCATGAACTTAATGTAATTTATATTTTTTTCCAATTTATATTCTTTCCATTGACTCATTTAGTTTTCATATGTTGTTAATGTACTGCATTCCTACATTAACAACATCTTCTGAATTTTGCATGAATTTCTTACAAATAGTTGTATAAATATTTCCCTTTTTTTACTACAAAACTAGCTTTTTAAAAAATGCTGGAGTTTCCCTTACATAGTCTTAAGGATATAACTACTTAGTACTTTCTTTAGTGAAGCCTTAAAAAGGCACTGAAGCTTACCTTAGACTGGCTATAGCTATCACCTGGTATCAAGCTGACTTCTACTTCAATATGGTTCCATATAATTCCATTTTATTAAATGCATCAACTTATTACAGACCTTATTGCTATATCACTCTGTTGTTTTCCTACATTTTCTTTGTTCTTTTTTTCACTAATGTACGCTGCCTGTGTTAACCATACTTAATGAAAACAATCACAATTTTCTCAGGTTTGTTTCTCCCTACTGTGTACTTGAGATGAAAAACACACTTCCCTGTGTATGGTGCAGTACTTTTAATTGGAAAGAGGAGGAAATTACCAGTGACATTTCTAATACCTTAAGTCGTCTGCCTCTTTTTTCAAGCCCAACTTATAATAAATCAATTGTGAATCTAACCATGGATAGGGAGGGCAGGCAACAAGATTTGCTAATGGGCCCCTGTTTAAAAAGACAGATATATTTCACCCTGACTATCACTGATTTTGAAGAGTTACCCTGATTTATTGGAGCAGATGAAACTGTTTGAGGCTATTCCTTATCCTTTACTAAATAATCAATTATTTCCAATTTAATTGATGGGGGATTGGGTCATTGACATTCTTCTGGTATTTTGCAAGCTTTGCCTGAGGTAGAGGTAGTACGGATTATAGAATGTGGATTTAGGCCTCATTTTTGTGCCAGAGAACACATGAATGTTCTTTGGAGACTCATAATTTTCCGTGTGCCCTATTTCTCCTCAAAGCCCCTTCCCTTTCTCTCTTCGTTTTGGGGTCAGGACACCTTGAACATCTTTTCATGGTTTTTAAAGTGAGACAAGGGGAGATGAATTCAGAAAACCAGGCTGTATGGATATGCCCATTAGCATTTGATTTAGGATATTAGAGACAGTCGTATTTTACAGGCTCCTGTAGTATTTGCCATTGTGACCCAATTCACAAATGCTGCACATCATTTCCACTTGAAATTCACAATACCGAAATAAAATAAGAATTAAACATCCTCCAGTTGTGCTTTGAAAGGTCTGCTCTCCATTGTAAGGTATTGTCTGTGAAGTACTAAAAAGATCCTTTTGTGTGTGTGTGAGTGAAAGTTAATCCTGAATTCATCTTGCAGAACAACTTACCTTTTCATTTTTGTCAAAAAGCATCAGGATAATGGGAAGCTAATGACAAAATCAGTTTATTTTTAAAACTATAAAAGTAAGACAAATGCTACTGCATTTGCCCAAATGCAGTGTTTAGTGCTTTCTTGATCCTTTGGTGAATGCTGCATTCTTATTATTAAGTCTAATGCTGGCTCATAGATAAATAGGATTAATTCAGCAAACATACTTCCGGCCCTCTAGGAGCTGACAGTCAAAGATTTTTGCAGATATTTCATTAATGAGAAAATAGTTGTTAAAGCTTCTTTAACTCTCTAGAAGATATGTTTAGTTTTATGTTGATTAAATTTAGATGAAGCTTGCATTGCCCCATTTTAAATAACTTTAATTTATTCAAACCTACTAAAGGGGCTTTGGCTTTTCTAGTATTCATTAAAATTAGAACTATGTAAATTTTTCATTAACATTTTTTTAATGCCATAGCTTTAGCTTTGGTCTATCTGTGCAAATACTGTGCTTGCATCTAAAAAATTATATACAAAATATTGGGAACTAACAGATGGCATGACAGAGGCTGGGTTGTGGTGCACTGAGGTCACAGACTAGGGTCACACACATGAAACTTGCTCCACTTCTTACCAACCAGGAGATGCTGAGCAAGGTTCCTAGGCTTGTTAAGTCGTATTCAGGCTAGTGCTGGAGGGACAAAGGAGAGGAAGACATAGGTCTTATGCTGGGGCTCTTGGTATAGCAGAAGGAACAGACTTTTAAAAGATAATTATAGTACAGCATATGCTCTGTATGAGGGTAGAAGTCTTTCCTAGGTACAGAAATAGTGCAAGCAGGGAGGAATTAGTGCCAAGGGCATGAGAGATTTCAAACAATTTTGTAGCACCTTTAGTCTAACTAGGCCTCTGGTCCATTGGCTGCTTCCTACTTACTCATGAACCTTCCTGTCCTCATGCTAGGGCTTCATGGTCCAATCATTTCCATAATTCTCTTGCCCCCTGGCAAGCACAGTGTTAGGCAAATTCAGTGGTCCACTTTGTCTGTGTCTGTGACTGGGGAGGAGCCAGTTAGCAGGGGCTTCCCAAGACCTCTCTCCACTCTCCACTAGCATCCTCACTTCCCTCAAAACCCCCTCCCCTCAGACTCAGAGAGGGGATCTTGCCTTCTGTTTCTCAGAGCAAATGTAAGCGAGGAGGTTCTCACAGCAAATCTAGTGAGATACAAAGAGGTGGTGAGAGTGTGAGGAGATAGATGGGCAGGA